TGGCAATGCATGCTTGTTAAAGTTAAGGTAAAGAGTGATAAAGATTCTGATCTCATACTGCGATGTCGGGCATTCTTTGATTGTTGTTTCAGACGTGCGATATTTTTGGGGGCCTGAATCTATCGGCCTACCATATTCCGTACATGTTCGATGATGAAACGTCTGAAGACCTTGCTCCAAGGATGAATGTCAGCAACTCGGAGACAGTCCACATATATGCAAGCCATATGGGCTTAGTGTTGTTGGAAAATGGCTACAGGATTGCGTGCCATGAAGATTCGAACCTATGTTGAATAAGTTCGGTGTTCAGTGGCTTCTGAAGATTAACGCAAATGGCCACAGCATATCAACGTATCGCTGAGCTTTTAATTTGTATGCAAGATGACTAGGGTGATTAACTGCTCACATAAAAGATAGCAGCCCACACATCACACCACGGGTAATGTATGCATGATGTTTTTTTTAAAAAAAGCCGATTGGGATCGCTGAATCTGGTCTCTCCACACTCTGACCCGATGGTCATCTGCTCCAAGATTGAAGGGATAACCATGGTGATCGCTTACGAAACTAATCCAGACGACTCTTTCGATGTTATGGGTTTAAAAGCAGACGTCTTAGGCCTCCGGGAGAGCATCCCTGACTCAGTTAAGCCAGTACCTCCTATAAACGAAGCCACGGCACGCCGCACACTACGTCACTAAAGTCGTCCTTATATACAGAAAGCATGATTGCCACATGAAACCACTTATCGCTGTTATTCCTTTAAGAGGAGAGAAAATGAAAAGTAGTTTTTATTTCCTTGCATAAGGCTTACTATATCGTTTGGTTTTAAATATATATATATATGTGTGTGTGTGCAAATATATATATTCCGATTTGATTTCATCGACTGCATTTTCTAATTTCAAATACCTAACCTTACTTTCCTTATATATTTTTTATGCTTAAAATAATAACAGTATAGTAAAGAAATTAATTGAACATACTTCAGATTAGTAGTAATAAATATATACTGAATATCTGGCTGATGCTGGTTTGCTTTCTGAAGAATATATTTTATTAAATATTTTCTTCCTTAACAAAGAGGATAACGCATAATTAAGCAAGTTTACAATTGATAGCATTTTCTGTTTCTCATAAATACAAATTTACACATAATTGTTTAGTCATTTTCCGCTTTTTTTTTCACTTCAGTGTGGGACTGAATTTCTTAACAGATGAGAAACCTGGAGAATGATTTGAAAAATACTATTTTTTAGCATCTATCAATATTTATTCATTGGTAGTTTTAAAATACGGTAGCAAAACATTTCATATATTTAGGCATTTTAAATTAGATCATTATTTGAGAATACATAACTGCATCTTCCCCAATAATAAAAAAAAGAAAAATTGTAAAAATTCAACAAACTTGACACTTGCTAGGAATTCAAAATTCTTATGTTTCATTCTTATTGTTAAATGTTTGTAACACCCCTTTTGTCTAATTATGTGCATATATATATATATATATATATATATATATATTTTTTTTTTTTTTTGTAACTTGTAAATTTTTGTTCCTGAAAGCATTTCATTGTAACTTATTTGAGAATTCTTTAGCAAATGATAAATATGAAGTTTATATATGTACTTACTGGAATTTTTATCAGGGTAATCAGTAGGAACTTTTAAAACATCTAAATAGATCAAATGTCCTCAATTCTTAGAATTGAAAGAATAACAAGTTTTTATGTATTTTCCTATTAGAAATGAAATAAATATAGCCTGATTGTTAAGATGTAAAGTAAGATTTAAAATTTTCAAAATAATTCAGATTTTTATTAAAGGAAAGCAACACAATTAGGATGCAAAACATATAAAAAAGGATTTTATTTATTTATTTTTTTTGGCCTGAATTTTTTGTACCAGTAAATTTATAACTGGAAGTAATAGGAAATGGCATTGCATACTACAGTGGGAAAAAAGGTGGGATGACTATTTATTTATGTAACTTGATGCTGCTACTTATTTTTATTACAGTTAAGTCTTTTTAATATCAAAATAGTTTAGTATAACTGCATGAAGCCTTACAGCTGGGAAGGATTAAAAATATTTTTTTTTTACTCAATTTATTTTTGATAAGTTTTCCCCTGTATATGTACAACCCACATCATTAGAAATTTTAATTCCAAAGCATTTAATTTTAGTTTTGACAGAATTTAGCATGTATTACAATGAAATATTGTATAAGAATACAGTGAATTTCCTCCATAAAAATGCATGAATATCTATAAAAATGACTCATATGGAATTGTAGGTAAAAACAAATTGTATTTATTTCTTCTTACAGTGTAAAATTAATGTAATAAACATGTCTGCTTCAATTAAAATAATATTAAAAAATTGCAAGATACTGATTTCAAAATCTAAACAATAGTAATATTAATTGGCAAAGTATTTTATCTTCAAAATCAATATTTCTCTAGTTTACAATAAATACACCTATTTTGCACAAAATGATATTAGATAAGAGACTTAACAACTTTAGCACTTTACTGTCATAATTAGTTAACTATTACAAATGCTTTTTTTGTGTGTGTGTGTGCATGCATTTTGAAAGAGTTGGTAAAGATTTCACAACACAAATAGAAAAAGCATTATTTTTTTATTTTAACATACTATCTACATTCTGCAAAAAAAATATTCATTTAAGATAAAATGAATTACAAGATTAAGTCTGAAAGATAATAAGAAAACAATAGGATTAGTTGTCACTATCTTATTTATAAAGTTTACTAACTGATAAACATAGTATATTGTCATTTCTGCTGTATGCATAAATTATTTTTTTAATGTTTTCAATTTCCGTTGCTTATTTAAATTATTACTTGAAAAATTATCATTCAACTTTTTGCAGTAATTGTTTAGAAAAATATTCGTTGATGCTTGTATGATGTTTTTCAAAATAATTTGAGGGTCATGAAGTTTAGGACAGTCATTCAACTCTAAAAAAAAATTTTCATGAAGTAAATTTAGAGTAATTTTACACACTGTAACTCGTGGATTTGCCGAAAATAAAAATTTTTGCTCATATTCATCTGAAATAAGTTTCTTAACAACAATAAAATTGTATATAACAGCATGTAAAATATCAGGATGAGGATACATAAGACCTCAATCCATGAATCAATCAAAAACCTTAATCCATGAAGTGAATATTTTCATCATTTTCTAAAGCTAACTCCTTATCAATAGTAATACTGGATTTACATACATCACATTTTGAACTTTTTTTAGCATACTATAACAGCAATATCCAGCTATATAAGTCAAAATAGGTATATCCAATTTTATGTTCGTGTATATCACTATCATCAACTGTTATTTCATCTATGAATGTTTGAACATCAGTGTCATCAAAAGCTTGTTCTTCGGTGTCTTTAAAATCTGATATATGAAGAGGAATTATTTCCAAATTTTGAAGAATTTATTAGGGTTGGCAAATGTACTCTGAAGTCTTAATTTACCCTCTATTTCATAAACCTGTCTGATAGAAATATTATGGTGAGCTCCAGCCAGTTGCCTGTACTTACCAAATCTAGCCTCTAACATATCCTGTTTGTATTTTTGGCAAGTAAAAGGTATTTAAAACCCAACTCATTATACAATACCTTGATATCTCAATTAAAGCATACGTTGTATGGTATACTGCAAAGTGAGTTTCTTTGGTTAGGCAACCAGAGGTTAAATTCAAATTTTTCCAACTATCTAGCCAATTCAAAAAGTTATTCATAAAAACATATTTTCATCATTTTCTGCCACAGTGAAAGGTGTTTCAAATACATTATTTTTATGAACCCCTTTAAAAAATAGATTTCACATTTACAATTGACCACCATGTGTTTATTATTTTAATAAAGTTTCCAGTTTCTTGTAAATTTATTATTTCTTTCTGCTGCCCAAAAGAAAATAATGCTTCAACAACATTATCATTAAAAATCTGCAATGCAAGCTTTACACTTTGTTTTTCTAAGTTAGTTGGATATAGAGCTTTTATTGTCAGACCATAAGCATACTTTAATAACTTACCAGTTTCAGATTCATGTAATTTTTTTAATACAAGAAAAAGATGCAGTTTCAATATGTGAAGCATCATCAAAACTTGGGAAAAACATACTCTGATTATTATTTTTTTGATTTATCCAGTTATTTCTAATGCATTTTAAAATATGCACTGTATCAATAATAAAAAACATTCGGCCTAGATTTGTCAACAGGGTTTTGATAAACAATACTAACTTTAGGTGGTTCGGAAAACAGAGACATAGCCTTTTTATTAATCGAATTATTGTCAGTGACAATAGCAATAATTTTAAACCCAATATTTTTCTAATCCCACAACAATTTTTTTAATATAAATATACAAATTATCCGCACTAAGTGTTTTCACCGGCAAATATGTACAACATCCTTATAAACAGATAATAGGCTGCGAATCATGAAAAACATATGCACTAGATGCAGCATTTTTGCAATTATATGCCATTCCACACAAATTACCACCTTTATAATCAAATGCTTGATTTAGGATGAATTTCATCAATCATTAAAATAACAAGACAGATCTTTTTCTGATAGTTCTTGAAATTTAAATTTTATGTAGCTTAGGAACTTTTGGTTGTATTGTTCATTTATTGGATATATATTAAAATCTGAAAAAATTTTCTGAATGGTCCGTGGATGAGGCATAATAATATTTTCTGAATTTTCGAATAAAATTATATGCATGTGGTGAAATTGTGTGAAGTAAAGTGGAAAATATTAGAAAGTCTGCAGAATACCTATATTGTTGTTTTTCTGAATTCAAGTTTGATAGTTGCTCAACGAGAAAATTTATTTCATTGTTTTTATGTGGAATTTTCTCTTTTAAAATTGTCATTAATTCATTTACAATTTGTAAATAATTTTGAATACTGTCTTCAGATGAATCATTTGAGGCAAATAGGTCTAATTTTCTCTAAAATACTTAAAAGATCTTTAAGGTTGTTAATTTTTGATGGGATTACATATTGCTTCAGTGATTTAATAGGTATATTTCTAATTGCTACAGATATATTCAAATTACAATCAATAAATAATGATTTTAGAATTCTTGGATGATTGTCATTAGAAATATTAAGAATCATAGTATGTATAGGCCTGTGTATAACTATCCAGTTATCTGGTAAATTCACAGTATTAAAACAAATTTTTAGTTCATCTAAATTATAAAACATTTGTTTTCGTTCATACTCTTCCTTTTCAGCTAAGCTACAGGCTAAGGATTTTCGAGTGCATCTTGTTCTCTTTTGAGTCTTTTATGCTCTGGTGATTCCCTTGATGAAACACTGGAACTAAGATGACTCGGACCATCAGGAAACAGACTTGGAATTGCACCATTCTTTAAACGAGGATATGACAATGGTATAATGATCTTATTTCCAGTTTTCTCATCAAAGAATTCAGTTTGCCTCAGAACATCCTCTTGCTTGAAGTGAAGTTCACATACCTTTTAATATGAAAAGAACAAATAAATAAACATGTATCAAAAGGTTAAACAATTATAAAATCGTAAGCATTCGCCATCCTTAAATACATGCACAGTCTAATAAGGGTTTTATTGTATTTTTATTTAATCATGGCAAAGCACTCAAGAGCTATCTGCTTAAGGGAAGGGTTACGTTGTGGAAAACGTTCATCATTTAATTTCTTTAAAAATAATACAGGGCGATAATGTTTGGATGGTAACAATTTGAAGAGATATAGCCATTTAAAGTGCACAACGCAAAAAAGTGATGCAGCCATTTAGAGTGAATAATGCAAAATCTTAAAACAAAACTATTAACTCTTTTGGGCTAAAAAGAGCCATGGATGCTATCATAAAGTTTTGAAAAGTGCAAATAATTAGCACATGTTTGTTGTCATATGTCAAATGCATATAACATAAGTAATATTTAATTGATACATCCTCAGGTAACATACAATTGCTCATGTATATATAATTGCTACATCCTAAATATTTCTTTCTTCAGTTATTTGAAAACAACACTTGGTTATGGAATTACATTCAAAATGGTGATAATACAGTTATAAAAAGAATAAGATTAACCATCAGTTGATGGATAAGAATAAGATTAACCACATTCATTCGTACCATTCAAATATAAAGTTACTGGCTCTTTTTCTAAACATTTTTACAAATGATATGTTCACAACCAGAAGTACAAATTTACTTGTGTGCCTATGAATGTTTATATTTAAGAGCATAAAACATCATTAGTCATTAAAAAAATTCATTTTTCTTGAATTATTGAAAACATGTATAAGTGCTAAAATATGATACACAAAGAAAAAAACAAGAATTTGTATATTTAACAGTTTTATTTGCAGTAATTAAATATTTTAGGCTATTCTTATGTAATTTTGGAGTGAAATATTCACATTCATCAATCGTGTTTGACATTATATTACTGTGGAAGGCTCACTAGATTGCTTATTTTCCATATAATTTCTTAACTTTTTTTAAAAAATTTTAAAAGTTATATAACTTATTAATACAATGAAACATTTTCATATTCCACTGCAACAAGTATAAATAAACAAAACCCCTTATATAAGTGTTTTTAGATAAGAAATTAATGTAAATTTCAAGCCCACAAGAACTTACTGCCAGTAGCAAGTGAACCACTGTAACAAGGTAGGTGTTATTGGCATAAGAAACTCGTACTTTTATAGATGTGTGTGTGCATGAAACAATTTAATAGGCTAATTAGGATTTATGCTAACATGTAATGAAAAACTAGTAAGCTTACAATCTTAGGCAATATTATTTGAACAAGACAGTTTAATTTAAACACCTTGTAACTTATTCCAGAAATTAAAATAATTACTGTCAAAACTAGTCCATTTATACGATTGTTTTCTTTTACATATATTTCATAATTTTTTTAAGGATTTTAAATTAATAAAGTTTAGAACATTGCATAATTAGCATTAATTTCCTGTTCACATGAGTTACGAGCAAAATGCATTCTCAAATGCTCCTAGCATATAATAAAGGGGCATTGCATACATTCAGTTTTAAAAAGAAAAAAAAAAAAAAATAAAAATAAAAATAAAATAGGTGGAACGAGACTTATCTAAATCAAAAGAAATAGTATACCCAAACAGTTAAATACTTAATATCTAAAACAACTTTAAATTAACGGCTTTAAAATTACGACTTGAAGCATTTTATATTTATCTACTTAAAGTTATAATATGAACTTTATAAGGTTGGTGGATTTTCTATTGACTAGTTATTGAGAAAAGGGTCCATTTTATAATCACTTTAAAATTCAGTATAAGCTCTGTATAACATAAATTCCTGAAAGATTAATCAATCCCAAATCAATGTGCGTGTTATAAAGATCCCGACGCCGAAAATATAAATTACTGAAAGAATTCATTAATAATACTCATTCATAATGGGATAAGAGAAATTTCTGCCTAGTAAAGAAATATATAACTATGCTTGTATAGAAAGTAATTAAAACTTCGTTTTATTTTCTATGGTTGAATGCAATGGAACTTTAGTAAATTATTTCCCTTGCATTGAGAATTTTTTGTTTTCGTATTTTCAAGTCATGTTTCTTTCAATGACATTAATCTTTCAGGAATTTTCTAATTTAAAAATGAAATGCATGCTTACCTTTGAATGTTTCGTAGGCTTGAATCCATCTTTTCGTTTGCAGTTCCAAATCCATTGTTTTCTCAGTTGTTCTTCGGTAGGAAAACTAAATACAGCCACCTTCGGGCAATTCTTATAATTTCCTTTGCATGTTGCAACACAGCATTTATGTGGCATAATAAAAAATAAATAAAGTAATTTAAATGAAAAATGTTCTATTAGAGCACACTACACTTTCAAACAACAGTCAGTTCACTACGCTACGACACCGAAGTATATTCTTTCATTCTTTGCCACGAGGAAGATGGTAGGAATGACGACTTAGATGACGTCAGACCGTTCAAGCAACCCTAGAGGCTTGGCTTCGTATATAGGAGGTACTGGTTAAGCCCCGTGAGATAGTGGAAAATGCTATGGGTGGTACAGAAGAGGATGCAGCTCGTTGGATAACGGATAATGAAGCATTGGGGCAGTTCGGGCCTGTCTCATAGTCATCCGATCATGCCTCGCATTCATGTACTGTGATACTGTTTTTAGGCTGGTCTCAGCGCGAAATTCATCGCGCTCTGACCTTGGATGCCCCTTAATGGGGATTCTTCGTGTATGAGACCTTATTTGGTTTGTCACTAATGGGTGAACTAAATGGGGAGAAAAAAATGTAGGCCCTTGCCTGTAATTACTGTGTTACAAGAACACGGAGATGTGAGGATGTCATAACATGCCATATGTATGATATTTGTGTGTGAAATCCCTACATGAAACATTCGTGCACCTTCGCTTCCCAGGCCTTTATTACGGTTGCAAGCAGCAACCATTGCTGCCAATACCTTTGTACTACCTTTACTAGTTCTGCAGTATAGAAATCCACGCTGTGACCAAAGTTAATACTCACTGGCCTTGAAAATTTAATCATTTGCATACATAGTATGAAAGAATTGCATACAAAACTTCGAGATTATCGGATTATTTTTAAAGGTGCTTCTTCTTCTTCGTTTTTTTTTTTTTTTTTACAAAATAGTATTTTTTAGCTATTACGTTTATTTATTTATTTATTTTTGTCTCTAGAAATAAAATAAAATTTATGCATTCAATGGTAAATATATTCTTTATTAGCAATAAATTTATTTTTGGCAAAAAGTGCATTGGCATTGTGATATGATATTTATGCAAGTTTCTATTATCTGTGTGTTTAAAAACACTTTAAATGACAGCCTTCAGTTATTACTTTTTCATATAATTCATTTAAGGCTTAATATCTCTAAAATGGTAATGCTGATAGGTAGTCTTAGATTTCTAATTATTAATTTATTAATTCATTAATCAATATTTAATGCATCTAATTTACATGTTTACTCGAATATGGCAAAGCACGTGAGGGCTATTTATCTAACAATAGGGATGCATTTGCGAAGGACTTTCTAGGGAAATATTCATTTCACAGATGGAATAAACCTCGAAAAAACCCATGCAATACTTAATAACTCACTGCAATTATAATATATTTGTATAAAGCTGAAAATTCGGAAGAAAACGTAAAATTGCAGTGACAGGTATGTGTAATTGTTAGGGTTTTAATCCAGTTGTCAGTGTTTATCAACTGTACCATTTTCATTTTAAGTGCATTTTTATGAAGTTTTAGTTCATGAAAACACAGGTCCCAGCTATAATCTAATCTGAAATACTTATCATGAAAGTAGAGTAGAAAGGGATATAAAGTGCATGACGTATAAGTTACTGTTAGTATCTTTAAGCTAGAATTTTACACTTTCAATAAATTATAGAAGATCTCGGAAAGAGTTTTGATATACTCTTTACACTGCTGAGAGGAAAAATAAGCATTTTAGAAATAAGAAGTTTCTTAAAAAATAGACAATATTCAAAGACAAATCTTTAAAGGAACAAACCAAACCTGTAGTGCAAAATAAGATGAAAAAATTTAATCTTTGTTCGACAGCCATAAAGTCAGATTAAACGACATTTTCATGGTAATCTTTTAGTCTTATATCTGTCATGATGTACATTAAAAAAAAACTTATAAACAGAAGCTATTTCAATATTGCTGATTTGAACTTCTTGGCAGCAGAAGCGTAGTTAGGGTTTTCAGCGCCCGTGGACAACTGAGATTTTGCGCCCCTTTCTGTGTACTAAGAATGTAAAACATTTCATTCTAAAATTTCATAACATCAATTTGGCGCCCCCTGGTTGCTGCGCCCGGGGACAGCTGTCCCTCCTTGGCCCACCCTAGCTACGCCACAGCTGGGCAGCAGTCCTTTCCAGAAGGAAATGAAAGCGCAGCAAATGAAAGATGGTTTGCGCTAAAAGACAAAATAACCCTAATAATTACAGGGTAGTATAAATACCTATTCATGAAAGTTCCGACTACAGAATACTGAATTGCATTCCAACCGGTTTTCTACGTCAGTGAGGAAAGTAATACGTACCTAATTACTATTTAGAAACAATCTGATACATTTTTTAGCCCAAAACTAAGCAATAAAATCGGATGATGATAAAATTCTAACTGCATTTGATACTGCTATTTTTTAAAGAGGTAGGAAAAGATTTATACTTTTGTTAAACTGCTTTTATTGTCCTTTTCTCAAAGAAACTTCAGCAAATGTTAGGTCGCCGATATTCAAAGATTTCATTAGACTGATTTTCATTTCATCTAATAAATGAAGATTTAAGGTTTATCTTACTTCTTATCGTATGCTTTCGTTACGTAACTGGAAAGCACGTCCGGTTAGCAATCGGAAGGTCCCGGATTGCGAATCCCGGCCAGTGCATAGTTCATTTTTCATGTTCCTAGCTTCAAACCTCCTCATAATTATACAAAGTGTATAATTTTGGATGTAACGTTTGCGGAAAAAATTTGAAGAAAATTATTCTATGAAGATTGCATTATAAAAATCCTACAAATGACCATGGAAATTTTATAAAATGCTTGTTAAATGCACATGATATGATAAAGGAATTAAAAACAATTAAGTTGCGCTATCTAGTAATGCATGTTAAAAATGTGATCTTTGAAAATTTAATGTTTTTCATACCAGAGGAATACTGTAAATGGAAAAGAAATGTGGAAATGATTAAAGAATTAAAATATGCTCTTGGCGAAGAGTGCAGGTTAATAAATCTGTTTTAAGGCACCGATGGAAAAATAACATCAAAAGAAATGAATACCTAAAGGTATTTTAAAATAAAAATGCAAAGAAATAAGACTTAAAGGTATTTTGAAGAAATTCAAATAGATAAATACATTTTTTACTTCTTATGCACGTTTTAAGAAAGGTTATTTCATAATTTTCTATCTCTTCTCTAATTTCTTAAAATTCATTTCCTGAAAAATCCAGCAACTTTCTCGAGAAACAAACGAAGATTACATGCTTGATTTCATTCCAAAATTCAGATGTCCACTTCAATGTGTCCACCCTGCTTATTTTCTTTAGTTTATTCATCGTGTCACACCCGTCCTCCATGTCTAGGATAAAAGATGAACGATATTTATATCTGTATATCTTCTTCAATGTTTCTCAAATGCCCTGGTCTATTCTTTAACATACCGAAGCCACTTTAAGAGGAAAAAAAAACGCGATTTTTATGGCTTCGTCTCGTAGTTGTTCGCATTAAAATGGTATGAGATTTTGTCAGCAATGAGAAGGGCTTATCTTGCAAATTTTTCGGTTTTAGAAACTTTTCTACCGAAAGAAAAATTGCTGATAAAACCAATCCTAAATTCGCTTTATTAATCCATGCATTTGAATGAATTCTGTGCCAAACAGGCAGATCATAGAAGGTGAGAGTTCCATTAGTGCACTTTTTCTGTGCTTTTAAACATAACAGGATTTTTTTCATTTGCTTATGTGCCCTAGTATGAGCTCATAGATATCTGTCACATTACTGCATACCAAAAACTTAACTCCCTTCTTACTTTTTTTAAAATCTGAAGGCCCAATTTTCCCCTTCATTTTTGAAGGTAGCATTCTAAAATTAGGACCGTAGTTGAAAATTTGATCCCTAATTATAACCTCATTTAATAAGTTTATGAAATTTTCCTTGAATTTGTTAATATATTCCAACTTAGCAGATTTTTGCCACAACAGTTTAACTGTCTGATGCCATAGCGCTTCTTTCTCCTGTCAAGACAACCAACACCAGTAAATTCAGGCTCTCCTTCTTGATCGTCCTAGAATTTGAAGGCCTTTCTCCTGTCAAATGGCTGCTGAGATGAGAGTTCTTTTTTCTCTTTGTTGCCTAAACAATAAATAAAACGTTTCACTTGCATTCTCGCATTCGCCATTTTTCAAGAGTTCCTTCCTTTAAACTACCAATGCATGATCTTTTCACACACCAAGCCTTGATTTGGAACCTCTTTTTTCATCCTGTTATATAGTAGTTCGTACAGCATCTAAATTCCCAATAATTTTGTTAGTACTCTTTTTGCAAGTTTCATTTCCATTGTCACGTTAGTTTGTTTTCTTTTCTTTTCTTTCAGCAATTTCACTTGCACAGACAGCACTTGTAAACCTGGATGTAAACTGAGAAATTCTACCCAGAATTAATTTAAAGTTTAGTTTACAATATAGCGCAGCTATAAACCTTTAAGCAAATTTGCGAAAGGCTAGTAACAGTAAGTACTGCGGGTGGTGACTGAAAGCGGCTAGATTTTATACAGCCACTTTTTTTGATGAGTAATGCAATAGATTGGGATTCCCACTGAAACAAAAGAACTGTCATCAAAATTTTTAGACAACTCCAAGAATTAACGTCAAAAAGAGAAAGGGGTAAAAATTGCAAAAATAGAACACAGTAATGAATCTTTGAACAGAACAGAAAAACATGCAGATATTTATACGCATATATATATATATATGTATATGTATTGTTATTACAATAATACAGTAATTAAAATGTACCTATACTGTTTGCATCGAATATAGTACGATGTTAGAAAGTATTACCCCTAAACTGTAAATAGACATCACTTTTTTTTCCTCTGGGATTGCTTTGCTAACTGTCTTTTTCGATCACTGGAGACTAATTTTGTGCAATCCAGACACATTAATACAGCAATCTATTGCAATACCCAATACGCAATATAAACACAAATTCAAGGAGATATCCACAAAAAATCACCGGGCCCTCTCCTGGAGAAAATTGCAGAGGACTAGATGCAGAAGTTTTATTGCGAAAAGCTTGAGCAAGTCTCTATGAAACGGACATTCCTGCAATTTTTGTGCATATGAACAGAATACATTAATTAAACGCAGGCAATTTTTCTCAGTTTATTGCTTGCACATATTTTCTCTTAAATAGGAACCAGAAACCTGAAATCTTTATGTATACTGTTTGCGTTATTTTGTTTATTCTCTCAAATTCAAAACTTAATTTTCAGTTACCTCTGCTCATCAGAATTGAAAGATAGTTTGAAAAATATGCTCACTGATTAAAATTTTCACCCAATTCCAATGGTGTGATTATTTATACGAGTATTAATTATCTGCAACGAACCAAAACTGAACTTCTGCGGATAGGTTAGCTCATGAAATATGCAAATTAGACGACTGACAATGTGCTGCACAATGGATACAAGTAGTAGTGTTTAAAATCAGTCAGGTTTCTGAGATTGATTAGTATGTAGTTTCGACTGAAAAGCATCGTTAAAATGAATGGAGAGAAGGTAATTAATAGACTCGAGCCTGACAAACACAAATGTACATCACCCAAAATCTGAATATCTTGCATAGTGTCTTCTCAAAAACCTGAAACCGTTTTTTAAACAGTGAAACATTTAGTAGATAGTCTGGTCGGGGCGACTTAAGAGTTAAAAACTGTATCTGAAGGTTGTTCTCTGTCATTGTCGAAACGAGTACAATGGAATTGCTTTTAAGTCTTCAGGATGTCACTGGAAAATCCGAAACAGTCATTATGCTGTTGGCGTGAGTCTTCCTGTGGTTGGACAAACGATGTAAAAAAACAACCATTTTTGTACCACTCAAATTCACCTTCTAAAGAGGCTGGTTTCTTCGTCAGATTTTTAATAGCCGAGTGGAATGATACCGTATACTATTTTTTGTCGAGTTCAGATATAGCCTGAAGTGTGATTCTAGGCGTATTTGATGTGGAGAGAACAAAGAACACGCAATTTTCGCTTACTTTTTATAGAAAATTCTGTTCCACAGAAATATTTTCAATATTTGTGCTAGAGTCATCCAGGAAGAAGTGGTATATCTTTAGTTGAAGTTCTGCAACATGACACAGTTATGTGTACGATGTCTTTTAATACCATGTAAGGCTGTTTAAAGGTGCTGTTGCCCAAGTATTTTGCTATTGTTGACAATGCTCGTCTGCACAGAACATTGCTCGAATGATGGCTAGGCCAACTTGCTCAATAGACTTGAATCCGATTGAGCATATGTAAGATGCTTTATGTCGCCGAATTGCAGCAGGCCAAATGTCTTCTCTGACTCTCCAAGATCTGAAGAGTGCATTACCAGACAAGTAATCCACCAAGACTTAACGAAAACTTTAATAAATTCTATGAAATCAAAATATGAGGTTTGCGTCTATGTCAAAGGTGACTGACTATAAATCATATTCAAGAAACACTTATTACAAGATAAATTAGATAGTTTTTCATAAATTTTTCCTTAAATATGACTTTTGAAATTAATGTATTCAGGTCAGTACATTAAGTAACATGATGATTTATGTTAAGTAATGCTATTGCACACGTTGGTTTTGATAATTATTTCTTAACTAACAGTTAAGTTTTATTTCTGTCAGTATTCCTTAATTTTTAAGAGCAATTTTCATCAAGATACTCAGTTCAAAGTACTTTAAGATAATTCATCTGCTTTTAAATATTACTATTCATTTGATACTGTTCAGTTACACCATAAAAGGAAACGTAGGCATGTAGGTGAATCTATACATGAATTATTTAAGTGTTTACCTTCCGGGGTCCTGAATCAGTAACATTTTTCAGAAGAAATATTTGAACAAATTTAGACCTTACTATCTCATGTATTTTGATTACTTGAGATGAATTAATTCTCAAAAATGTCATGTTTCAGTAAGAAGTAAAATATTATTATTTATTGTAAGTAGATTCTGTGTAATTCGGATGCTTTTAATTTTTTATTAAATTTGTTTTATGCTGAAATCGCAGGAATTAAATTAACTCTACTCAAAATTTAAAATAATTACTCAATGCAAATAATATACTGAGCATCATATTTTTTAATGTGCGGTACAATAATGAAAGAGCATGTGTGAGGTAAATTTCACAAATGTTAAGCACGTGTTTAGAAAATAATGTAGAATATTCTCCTTCAGAATAGTATAACTAGAGGGTGATGAATTAACTAGAGTGTAATGAAATAATGGAAATAATAAAAATTCCAGTAGTCACTGAATCTAAAGGGCAAAACAGTTAATATACTTCCTATTTTAGAAATAGTAACTCTCTTCTTAACTTCATTTTCTTGATGGGGCTATGAATTAATCAGTTTTCTGAATTGAAAAGAATGATTAAAGAACGTTATTCTCAAAGAAATTCGAGACATGGGAGTATGTATTTGCTTTGTATTGAATAAGGATTGCATTAGGATTCGTTTAGAAAACTATGTGGTTGTTCTAAATCTAAAATCACATTTCAAATGCTTCCCAGTTTTGAGAAGCGTGATTTCTCTCGTGAGATATCATCTCCAAAGATGGTTTTCCCCATGTGTAAAGTGTATACGAGCCAGTTTCCCTTAGAAAGTCCTCCACGAAGGCATCCATCCCCTTAGGCAGATAGCCCTCGAGGCTTTGCCATAATCACACACACACACACACACATACACACATCTCCAAAGAATACAACGTACTACTTCCAGTTAAAATTGATTGACAGATTGGCAAGTGAAAAACTAATTGCAGAAGATAGTATTTTGAAATTTCTTTGCTAAATCAAAGATGGATTTTTTTCAAATATGAAAAGCGCGGCTCACGTAAAATGGTCTGTGTGCATGCGGATTTCAGGATTTTCACCATCTGTAACGTAATTTGAAATCCCTTAGAAAATCCTCCACGGAGTCATTTCCCTTAAGCAAAAAGCCGTTGGTACTTGGCCGTAATCCGTTAATCAGCCACGAATTAAACGTTGATAGCCAAGAAATAAATATTCTTAGTTTTATTCCAAATTGCAATCAAGTACGTTGGTTAAAGTACTTAATCTACTAGTTTGGAATAAAATTGTTGTAATTTATATTTTTAAGTTTGGCACAAATTTAAGAATTACCGCAAGGTTTTAAATGATGAGCACTCAGTCGAAGGTAAATAACAAAATATGCGCAGTGATGTTAGAATGAATGAGACCATGTGGATTGAGTCAGGAAAACTCCGTAGTTGATTTGCTAGTAAAAATCATCTATTTCAGTTTTTCTTTTATCATCTCTGGAAAGCGAATAAATGCTTTTATTTTATCTTAAATGTCTCACATAATTGTAGACTGAAATTTGAATTTTAAATTTGCCTTATTTTTCTTACTTTTTATTTATTTTTAATTTTATAATCATTTTGAATGAATAAGAAGCATTCTTCCAATATAAAATGGCTCCTACTCTCCTTTTGAGCTTCCTTCAGAGAACAAGAAGGCTTGAAAAATTGTTACCAGCATTACTTTTGTTTAAAATTATGTATGCATCATACATTGTAAAGATTGTAATTTGCTACTTAAGTCTGCTTGTACAGAAAATGAGTTATTTTATTGAGTAGCTAGCGCAAAAAGTTAAAAAAATTAAACAAAAATTTCCAAATTAAAAAATTAAATTTTGTAATTTATTAAGTTCTTTATAATATGAATTAAAAACTCTTTTGATTTTCCAACCCTTCTTGATATAATATATTATTGCAATTGTCCAGATAGAGTTAAATGTTTGTGTTTATATATTGGAAAATGTTAAGTTATTTATTTTTAAGCTTATATATTTAATTTTTATGAATTTTATTTTTCCCCTCTAAAATGTATCGGACAAATATATTGCTACATTTTTAAATAGTATATATTTTATCATAATTTGGAAATCTACATTTGGTGTTAATGTTATTTTTCAATGCATACCAAAGTTTCACTATAGTTCATAAATATTGCGGAAATTTTTTGAGTAACATTCTTTATGAATAATTTTAAAAAACAAAGCAATAAAAAATCTCGTCATATATGATTCGACAAGAAGAGCATTACCTTCCGTATCGTATGCTTTTGTTTATCCTAAATTGCTGCAGATCCGTTAATTATTTTTTCATATGTTGTCGAACAGATGGCTTAACGTTCAGACTTATCTTCATCTGCTGAAAAATATTATCCGTAGAAGATATTCGAAAATGCTATTACAGATTTATTTTTAAAGCAGCTATTATGAAAGTTATGAATTGGAATTATTACTTTGTTTATTTCTATTAAAGTAAGTTTAGATGTTGCCATGTCAACAAACTTTATGTATTTTGATAAAACAAATGTGGTTATGTAATAGCTCAAACTGCCTATCACATTTCCGCTCAGGAAAAAGCGGGAAACCAGATAAAGAAAGAGGAGCGAAAACAAGTTAAGAGATAGTAGCGTAAATATTTCAAGGGTTTAACAGTAACATGAGACTGGAATTAGTGACTGATGATATAAAATAATAACTCTTTTTTATTTATATTTTTTCCAATGTTTTAAAAGACCATCAGCCGAAAATATCTATAGCTTCTTATCTCTGTGATTGGATTAAAAGTAAAAGTAAAAAGTAAAGCTTAAAAGTAAATAGAGTTTAAAAGCATGTAGAAATTTTAAATAAACATAAGTAGTCTTTCAAAATTGTTTATTGAAATTCATATACATTACAACTTAGTGTTTAAGCTATCAGTCTACATAAAACTGAGTAAGTGTAAAATTAGTAATTCTAAGAGACGTAGCTGCGTTGTACCTTTACAGACAATTCGATATTGTAAATTAGCGAGTTGGTATATTTTCTGGAGAAGCACTTGTAGAAACGTTAGGTTATTTCGAAGCAGGAGAGATGAAAAATGAGCAACACCTTCGCCGGGAATCGAACCACGGACCTCTGGAATCCGCGCCCAGCGTGCAGACCACCACACTACAAAGGCATGCTAAAAAAGCGGGAAAAATACTTTATATACTTCCCCTTTCTTTTAAAAGGCGATTGAGGTTTTAGGGGACCCAATCGCCAAATCTGGGGTGTGGAGAATTATCATTCACCACTCTTTTTTAGTTCAGGGGCCAGTGCAGTCATTAGGATTTTTTTTTTTTTTTTCAGAGGCAGGAAAAGTGACAAAAGCAACGCCTTCGCCGGGAATCGAACTACGGGCCTCTGGAATACGCACCCAGCGTTCAGACCACCACACTACGGAGGCATGCTAAGAAGGCCGGAGAAATATCTTATACACTCAGAGATTAAATTATTTTTTATAGTAGATAAGCTTGTGACAAATATTTTATTATTGACAGTTACGCTTAATTTAAATACTTTCCTTTCTTTCTTATCTTTCCGTTCGCTGTGGACATAACGGTTATGGAAATTAAATACAGACGAAAGAAAGTTTAAAAACTAAATGCATTAATATGCTAAAAGGACTAAATGCTTATCAAGTAGCTTCGGATAATTTAGTGCTAGTCTGTATATTTATGGGAGACCGGAGTGTTTCCCGCTTGTCATTCAAAATTTGGTAAAATTTTGGTGAAAGACTTAAAGTGATTAGTTGACAACCAACTGAATCATTTAATAAAAATTTATTCTTGCTAACTATAGTATTATTGGTTAATTAACGTTATTGAAGTCATATTAACTAATTACACGATAATAAGTTTTTCCATACCCGGCTGATTTTTATAGGAAGCAGTAATATTTATCAAGTTCTGAGGAATTAAGTATGATTTACTGTACGTAAAAAGTATTATTTCCCGAATACAGTAGTGTACTCTCGTGTTTGACTTACAATTTGCATATATTTAATCTAAAAAAAAATAAATAATAATAATATAATAATAATAATAAAACACTGGATTTGTTACTCGATTTTTATTACAAAGAAAATCACATTCGCATACATTAAACATTTTTATTTATAAATACTGGTTGCAAATTAATTTTATAATATTTGAGAGTTACCTTTTATTCCTAGAGCATTTCTAATATCATTAAAGTGCATGATTTTCAAGAATTGTGTCCTTATATCAACCTGCACAATGAATTCGCTAAAAATGACAATAATTAAAAGAATAAAACATTTATTTTACAATCAAAAACGATAATATAGCAATGAAGCGATAAAAATAATTATAAAACTTTAATTCAAGTCTTAAATATCAGTTCTTAATATTGAAATAACTAGGTAGATATATCGAAGAATGAAAATCAAAGGCATTCTTCTTATTTAAAGGTAACACTCATCTTAGCAAACTTCAGCCATTTAACTTTTTGTATTTTATTATTTATTTGTTAGGTTGTATTTTATTTTTACTCGCCTGGTAATCCTAAGAGAATATCATACTTTGTATCTTTGTTACTAGTACCTCGGATCTTATTCTTATTAGTTGAGTTTACACTTTCCATTTAAATTCCCATTAACTATTCATCTGATATTTTCTTTATTTACTAATTTAGGCTTTTCTATGAGTCATTTCTGCTTAAACCATCATTGGAATTTTGCTGTTCGTCTATCAAGTTTTCTTGGTTGTTATCCTCATCTACAGGCTTAGCTTCAGCGTCTTTATCTCTAATTGCATCATTTTCTGTTTGATTCTCTAAGCTAAATACATTGTTAGATTTAATATCTTTCATTTCGCGAAATGGAAACGTATCACGCATCTGAAGATTTGGTTTGTGGGTTCTCCAAAATATTTGACGGTTTTTAAAGTAATCCAGCAACTGATGGCAGTCTTCGTGAATTGAAGATATAGAATCATCAGATAGTAGAGCTTTAAGGTAACTTACATCATCTTCATATATTTGGGAACGCGATGAGCTACTTGGTTGACTACGCATTTTTTCAGTATCTTCATCTTCTTTGCTTAGAACTTCAATCGATTGAATATCCTTATCGTCAATAATTAAGGGGATATCTGGAGACAAGGAGTTATCAATAGCTTTCCTACACATCTGATGCCCTAATTTAAGATCTTCGAAGTTTGGCCTAGCGTCATAACCTCTTCGAAAAGTCAAGAATCCTCGTTCAAAATCTCCCAGAAAATATTCAGCTTCACCCTTGAGAGCCTTAGCTTCACATGATTTAGGATACGACTTAAGAACAGCTTCTGCGTCTTCCTTAGCTTCTGAATATTTTGCCTGCAAAAGATAGCATTTACCACGACCAAGGAGTGACTTTCTGTTGCTAGGCTCACGCTCAAGGGCCTTGTTGAAGAAATCTATGGCTTTTTCGTACATGTGACACCGCAGGTACTTCATTCCTTCTGAAATGAACATGGTGATGGGAAATTTTGGACCTTTTGCTCCTTCCTGCTCCTCTTCATCCTCTGAATCCATATCTGGGGCGATCTATGCAAACTAAAAAATAAAACTACACTTTAATATCGCAAGCTTATTTACTTACTTTACTCATCCAAATACTGATAAAATTATTAATAAACTTATATACTCCTCCTTTTTAAATTTATTTTTTATTACTTCCTTTTTTAATTTATATACTCCTCCTTTTTTTAAAAATTAATTAAAACTAATTTTATTATTGTGTGAACTCTGTCTAAGACGACAACTCACGGTGTCAGTTTATTTTTATCTTTCATGAGTGGTTCGTCTTAAAAACGTGATGGTCAATAGATATCTATATTCTTTTAAGTAATGGTCACTGTCAGATAAGATGTCTTATGGAAGTGATTATCAGGAGAGGTTTCAGTGCACTACTATTCGTCAAGCACAGAAATGTTTCTCTTCTTTCATTGCTTAGACTAGAATTTCTCAGCAAATGCGAATGTGGTTGAGTGCTGGAAACAAAAATTACTCAGAAATATGAAGAGCTGTAGAATATTGATTTGGTGAAGAGAAAAAGCAGAGAATGCAGCATTCATGTTGTGTTTTCCTTCTTATGTTATGCTGGGTTGAGTACATTTGTTCTAAATTGTAACGACACATAGGTCTACCTCTAAATCATGGGTTACCAACGGGGTCGGTATTGACTCCCTGGAGGTCGATGAAATTTTAAAGGGGTTCAATGATGATCAAGTGTTCGACTGCATTGGCAATTGATCGGCATAATGAAGATCCCATTGATTACAAAATAAATATTACTATAATTGCTTATTAATATAATTTCGTAGTAAGACAAAAAAGACACATAAAATAAATGTAAGAGGAAAATATGAAAAAAATTATTTAGTACATTTTAAAAGTAAACAATATTTTAAATATGTAAATTGTGTATGCAAAAAATACAATATTAAAAAGTAAAACCCAAGAATACAACAAAGCACAAACAAAAAATACGAACAACACAAAACCTCCTCAGAATATATATTGTTACACATGTTGCAAATTTAAAAAAAAAATTTTAATGTTCGTTTCCAAGGTACTGAAAATTTGAATGTGTCAGCAGGGCTATTAGAATCTCTGAGCTGCGATACATTTGATATTGATATTAAGATGCATTGAAGGAGGATGTTTAAACGCAAGTCTTATTCAAAACACATGTGTACGTTTAGGTTTTGGAATTTAAAACACAGAAATATCCTGAAGTAAATGTTTTTACCGGATAACATTTCTTCTTCTTACCTAGTATAAGTAGGCTTTATCCAAGTCAATAATTTACTACAGAAAACAAGAAAATGGTTGAGAATGTTTTAACGAAATGATTTAAAAAATAAGTTGAACAATTTTATGTCAAATATTAAAAAAATTGCAAACGCAGCCATCAGATTAACTAAACCTGAACTTATTATGTAACTTTTTTTCTGACAGCTTGTTTATATTTGTAAAATTTAATACAAAAAATAATAAAACATAAATTTAATACAAACCCTTTTTTTCCCAAACATTAGCTCATATTCTTAATCTTATTGTTATCTTAAAATTATCTATGTGCAATATTTGTATTGTGATTGTGTTGTAAGCTGTATATTATATAGAAAAATATAAGGGAGTCCGTAATGAAATACATTTTTAAAAGGGCTCGATGGAAGAAAAAGAATGGGAATTCTTGCTCTAAACTAAAGAATTAAATACAGAAGGATTTTTCATAATCTCGATGCTCTAAAAGCGGTTTTCACTGAAAAGAAAGAAATAAAATAACAGTTCAATATCTACTACAGAAATTTGTGGTAGTTTGGGGATCATCATGGATCTTCGATAAGAACATAGAAACTGTAGTAAACTTGTTATGTGAAACTGAGTTTAAGAGAGAACACTTATGTCTCTCCACTAGACACTGTGATCCAAGAAATCAGCACGAAATTTCAGAATGATAAACACGAAAGTTAACTAAATCATGTCCAAGACAATATTAATAAAATATATTTCGTCTTTGAAAGAAAAAATTTCAGAATTTTATTTCTATTCTTATTATAAAGAAGAAGGAGCAGAGCGTTGAAACTCAATTCCAAGTGCTGTAATACTCCTAACTATATTTCAGATTGTTGTAAGTACTTCTAGCAGTGAGAAGCATTTCTTAAGGCTTTTATTTCTTAGTATTAGGAAGGGCAGGAAAATCGAGAACCGCCCCGGTGGAAAAGATTCTGAATACGCTACTACGCCAGTGAGATGAATTTAAAATTCGGACGTCAGTTGTAGAAATAAGAAAGAGGTTTAGAATTAGTATCACCCTCGTCCGGATTTCAGTCGGGATCACCGAATCTTATTGGTCATTACACATAACAAGAAACTGAATAAATGTCATTCACAAGTTTTTTTTAGCCTTTAATCGCTCGTCCATTTTTGATTTAGGTTATCGTTCTAAATTCTACAGATGTTTATATTTACTTATCACTAATTTAAATTTTGAGTATTTCGGAATGTATTGCTTTTAACTGCACCATAGAAACATGTATTTTGTTAACAAGCTTGCTTATTTATGCATATAGCACATTTTATGTAATAATGATTTTTTTTTTTTTTTTTGGTATTTTTGTTGTATTACGTTCATGGCCACTTATTGCGTCTATAAGTGTTTATTTGGTGCATTATATTGTATATTATATTGAATTATAAAGATAGCTCAGTTAGAACTGGAGGTATAGGTAGAAAGTTTACTGACATCGATATTTCGCGATTTTTTTCGCCATCTTAGTGACATTAAGAGAGTTGTTAGAAAATGCATTTATGAAACTCTAGGAGTTATTTTTCTGGAAGCTTCTAGAAGTGTTTGGGCAACCCTATGAATATGGCTGCGCTGCAGCCGACATGCAAATCAGAATCATGGGACGATTTTGATATTCAGACTTTATTCTACGAGTAGATTTGCTGATCTGCAATATTTCTCGCATGTTTGTCTTATCTCTGTCTTTCTCCTTGAGCTGCTTGTAGCTATCTACCTACCCATACAGCTTTCATTTATTCCAATAAATTATCAATTTCCTCCTGTTCATCTGACATAGTTATTAAAAATATTAACATGAAACGATATTATTTACTGTCACTACCTATTCAATAAATAGCGGTATTTCAGAAGAAAACTAAAGAATATGTATTGTTACTCTCAGGCTTTCTTGCACCAATTGAGAAGAGCGTATTTTACTTAATTAATATGATCTTTTTGTTCCATTTGACATTATTAGGTTTCTATTTGGGTGAAATGAATCCACAATAACGTGCATTCTAGTTAATTCAACCCGTACAGACGAATGAAAACGTTTGAATTATCAGGAATTCAACTCACCAAAAGTACTACGTTCATTATTTTTAACTGAAGCGAGATTTTAAGTTTGATTCGAATAACTAATCAAAATTTCCACTTTTCCTATGTCCTGTTAAAGAGAATTTATTCAACGGCATCTTGCTTAAAATATTTCTTCCATCTATTTCAAAAATAGAAACAGTTTCACTCTCATTCAGTGATTTAAAGCACATTGCTTTATTTTACATTTTAAAGGGCACAAAGTGTACATCTATTTTTTTAAAGGACACAAAGTGCACTTTTTATACTGTAGAGATATTAGGTGATTTTTTTCGAAGCCAGAGAGATGAAAAATGAGCAATCGCCTTCACCGGGAATCGAACCACGGACCTCTGGAATACCGGCTTAGTGTGCTGAGCACTACACCACGAAGGTACGCTAGGAAAGTGGGAGAAATACCTTATATACTCCCCTTTTTAAAGGGCGACTGCGGTTTTCAGGTGACCCAATCGCCAAATCCTGGGTGTGGAGAAACATTATCCAACACCCTTTTAGTTCGGGCGACACTGTAGAGACGTTAGGATTTTTTGGAAGCAGACAAAATGAAAAATTAACAACGCCTTCGCCGGTAATCGAGCCACGGACTCTGGAATACCGACCCCGGGTGCAGAACCACTACACCACGAAGGCACGCTAAGAAGGCGGGAGAAACACCTTATAATACAAATATGCTTGATTTAGTGTCTTTGAAATATAATTTAAAGATATATACAAGTTTGACTATATTGGTCCAGAATCTATGTATTTTTCCCCATTTGGGCGACATATCTCCCAAATAGATCTTTATCTGAAAAACCGTTTATCCGAAGGTATATTTTCTTATGCTTGTAATTTGCTAAAAGATGCTGTTATATGTTAATGATTTGCTTAGATTTATTGAATAGTCGGGCCAGATTGCAGCTCCAAATCAGAATATTAATATAATAGAAGATAACTTTGATAGAATTAAAAGATATTTCTCTAATCATCCGTAACTTAATAGCGATTCGATTCTAAAACAAAGGATAACTGGCGTATGTAAATTTTCAACTTCGGAGATCATGAAATGCAAAAGAATTGGAAAGTAGTTTACTGACCAAACACTGAAATCGCCGAGTAATTAGGGGGGGGGAACTTATGACTGCAAACTTATTGACAACTCACTGAGAAGCAACTTTCATACATTCACCAAAGAGGGAAGGAGAGAACGAAAGGATACTTTACTACAGTCAAACTCCTCTATCGCGAATCTGGTCTATAAACGGACCCTTGGGTATAACGAACGTCCTTTTTTGTCCCGTCCAAGTTCCTGTGATTTAATGTTATTTTATACGGACATGGTGAATCTTCTAATGTGTGAAAACCGGATATGATAAACTTATATATATTTTTGACTTTTTTGTATTTTTCTCAGAATTTTTGTAATTTTTAATTGAGAAGTTGCTAATTCATTGTCTATGTTTAGGAAGTTAGAATTCACAGTCCTTCGATGTAGCAATAGCGAAAAACTTTTAATTCTTGCCCTTTTTATCTTCACACCACCTATCTCTGTGGTCTAAACGAAACCTATGCGATGCATGTGTAACGCCTACATCTTGGAGAACCAGAACTCACAACAAGCTTATAGAACACTATATGATATCCGTGACCATTTGAGCCAAAGATCTTAAATAGGTTCTCTGAGTTCATTTAAATTCTTTGATTGAACTGTCAGACAGAGATCAATACAAGGCTAATGCTATGATGGAAATTCTAAAACTTCTGCTACTCAAGAAAAGAGAAAATAGTGAATAGGTTCTTGTAAGCTTGTAAGGATTTTAAGTTTTATTAACCTTATTTTAAAACTTTGCTATCCTCTCTTATTTTCCATTTCCGGCCAGAATAAGCACGAGTAGATTTGGTCATGCTAACGAGGTTGCAAACTGTATAGGTATTTAAGATGTAGCTTTTAGCCAAGAGAAAAGAGAGACTTCTTGCTGCCTTACCACGCGCGTACTTTTCAGTCAATTCATGTCTGCCTTTAAGGCTACAACTTAGTTCCCGCTGATATTTGAAGACGCATTATAGTTCTTTGCATTTCTCTTATTACTTATGTAGTGTCAAAAGGCCAACCTTCGCGTTAACCGTCTCTGCAAAGCATCTAAGTTTAGTTCTTATTTAGTTAAGTAGTTATTTCTTATTTTCTACGTTTTAGACCGTAAGTGCTGATCTCTGTATCCCGAAGTGCGGGAGCGGCTGTACGCTGTGAGAAATAAAGTGTAAAGTTAACCCTTCTTAGCGGTGCTGTTTGTCCTACACACACAAGAGCATAATATGAGTAAGCTCCCTACTCCCATTCAGGATTAGTAAATGTTTCCAAAGGCAATTAGAAGGAACAGCAGTTCTGACAAACTTGGACTGTATTCAATGATTCGCCTTTTAGGGAATGGAAGTTCTGTAGCCTTATCGGTTTGTTGCGTTTCAGTATTTAAAAATGCTATGGAAGTTCTGTCTTCTGAATGGAAAGGGGTTGCCTTCTTTAGATGTTTTGCAAGATTTAGGGCATGCTTTGTAAGAGATATTGCGGCTTTACTTTGTAACCGTATATATATATATATATATATGTATATACGATACTTTGGGAGAAATGAATGCATTTTTACTGGCCAAATTAATGACGAAATTATCTCGCCTTTTCAGATTTTTCAGAAAGGAGAAACTTGTATACCTAACTCTACCCTTGAAACTTGTGTAACTAACTTTTACCTAACTCTCTTTATTCTGTATTGGGAAAATTCTCAGTGTCTTAAATTCATTTGTAGTCATTTTATATTGAAAATAAGTTGAGTATTATTCGAAACCTACAAAACAGATGCTAAATAGATATCTGGCCGGAATGCAGTTCGAATCTGCAACTGTTATATGGAACAACTGAGTCTCATTAAAAAAATGGGATAAAAAGGAAAAATTTTAAATGGCCAAGCATAAAGATGTTGAAGAAGCATTGCTGAAATGGTTCATACTGAATCCACAGTCCGCCATTATCTGAACAGATGCTAATTATAAATATGTACTTTAGATGAAGATTTGTGATCAGAAGAATGGGTCTAAACCATGACTATTATACTAAGTAGATTGTCGTGTAAAATTATTATAGTACAGTGGAACTGAAAAATAACACAAAATGAAATTTGGTAATTGCACATAATAATAATTGCAACCAACTTTTAATAACATCTTTAAGTTAGAGTTATTATTCATTTGTTTTGGGAGTTATTACAATGCTTTCTCATGATCCCAGCATCAACTTTTACACTATTTGTAAATTTATCCATTTTTCCCCTCATCAGATTGGATATAGTAAACCAACGGGGGGGGGAGGAACCAATGGGTTTCGACCGCACTTTACTCTCAGCTGCTTCTAGACTCTTGAAAATCCATTTCTAGAAATTTTCAAAATGTCGGGAAGGCAGAGTAGATTTTAAAACGCTGTATCTGAGGTTCCGCTGTTAATATTTCTTACAGTTCTAATACTCATTAAACAGAACTGAAAATGTTATAAATTAATGAAGAAATTTTTCTCATAAAATAAAATTATTACCTCAGTTTATAAAAAAATTGCCAATGCAGGAAAGAATATACATAAATTTACAGCAAAAAAGACGCAAAACAAGTAATAAATAGCAATAAATAAATAGAAAAGAATACTAACTAACACAAAATAGGTAGAAATCTACATGCAACAAAATATAAACAAATAAATACGAATATTTACATAGATTTACAGCCTTTACAGCCTTTGCTTTCATTTATTCATTTATTTGTTTCGTAAATTAAAAAAAATTATTTTTTTAACTCGGTATGATACTGTATAACGTAAAAATTTCATAGTTTATCTATAAGCCTTCAAAACATACGAATGTAAACTATTATGGTTTTAAACTAATATTATACCTGTATGAAAAAAATCCAACAGTTTTCTGCAAACGGATTAACAATAAACAAATATTTTTTAACGAAATATAAGATAAATGCAGAATTATGTTTTAGATAATTTTTACAGTGATTTAATTACCTGCAATTTTAATATTAATACAGATAAAATATCACACAGATTTATAGGTCGAAACAAAATTATACTGTTGCCAAAATATTAAAAGGAAAATCTATGCATTAAAAAGTAACTAATGAAATGCGGCTACGCAATAATTCAAAGCCAAAAGCATTATAATTAATAATGAAAAAAACTAGAATTCAAAAACTCTAAAAGCTTTCAGATTTTATATAACGCCCAAAGGGGCATTTCTTTGATTTACACACGCATTCACGCTTCGAGAGCATTTGGGCTAAAAATATTTAAAAACAGCATATCTTTAGAATATCCGATAGGCAATCTCGCGCCCTGGAGATAAAAATTCCGTATAGTGTGTTGCCACTGCTCGTTTTGAAATCGTTGAGTTTCTTAATGAAAAATCGTTCATATTAAAAAAATCTTAAATAGATAATTAAACAAATTCGAAAATAAAAAAATTTATCTCTTTTTCTGGTAACGAATTCACGTCGTATTCAATCAAGAGTAGTAATATTGATTTCATTATAAGCCTTAAGATCTTGTAAAGAAGCAAAATAAACGACATCTTATATATGCTACAAATCTTTAAATAGCTTTAGAATCGTTAACATCTTGGCTTATTTTGATTTTTAGTATAATTACTTTCCACATTCGTCCATCAAAACGGAAATTCCCTTTGACGGTATTTAAGCTGAGGGTTTTGAATAATAGAAGGAGAGAGCTTCTGGCCCTCGCATTTGCTGTTAATTTTCGCTATCTCTATTTAAAAGTGATAAAAAGCAGGGGCGTAGCTAAAGTTTCCAGTGCCCGGGGATAGCTGAAGAATTTAACCTCTTTGTGAAAAGAATGGAAAACATTTCATTAAAAAATTTCGTAGCAACAATTTGGCGCCCCTTGGATGCTGCGCCTGGGGACAGATGTCCCCCCTTGCCCCACACTAGCTGAGCCACTGATAAAAAGCAATTAAAGATATCGCTTGTATCTTTTAAGAATATTGATAAACAAATTTCCATATCATTTAGATCCCTTCAAGCAATTTTGATAAATCATTTGGACCTGCAATGCACTGCTTCTTCAGTTATTGCATATCATAATTGCTTCAGTTACTTTTTTCATAAAACAACAAGTGCTCCAGATGGTGCTTTGCTAAGAACTCTTCTTAAAACGCGTTATTACTCACCATGAAACATTGATCTACGCTTTTGATACAAAAACAGCTCTACAATCAAAAGAATGGCGCTCAAAAGAGTAGCAGAACCGAGACGACTATATGAAAAAATTAAAAAAAAAAAAAAAAAAAAAATGAAGATAATGTTGAGTGTTATCTTCAATTATTGTGGTGTTGTGCATTATGAAATTAACCTAAATTGTTTCGAAATAACTCAAATTTAGCATCATGATTAATGCACTCGCTCGCAGTATCTTAATAGCTCATGACAGTTTGGCCAAAACTGCAAGAAATAAGGTTTCGAAAGCATCGTACTCACTTTGTGACATTTTCTTAGTTCAACGATTAAAATGACCTCTTTGGAGTCAGTCCCCTTTTGTAGTGCGCTGTTGCAGTGAAAGAAAATTCACAGCAAATTTGGAAGAGGTTCCAGAGAAATGGTTTTAAAACATGTTTCGAGAATTGAAAAAAATAATGGCATAAATGTTTTGAGTTTCAGGAAAATTACTTTAAATACAACAGTAGTGAAATAAGTATTGTGCTTATGGAATAATTCTCACTACTTTTTGGTCAGAGTGTTTTGAAAAATCTCTGTAAAATCAGGTAAAAAAAGTATTGAATTCCGAAAAACAAATAAATAACCAATAAAAAATTTTGAAAAGAGTCAGATTTTAATGGTCGTCAAAAGTACTTAAAAGTAAAGTTTAATAGAGTTTATCTATAATGGTTATGAACAGAGATCGACCGCCAGGAGAAACAGCGATAGGTAGGATATTAGACGAACATACATTTAGACTAACAATGAGAACGTTATATATTTTCTGTATATTTGAAAAGTGAAAATGTACGTAACGTATTTCTATAAAATGTTTTAAATTTTTAATGTTTTTAATTAGATGTATCATGAATTAAATGCATTTTATTTAAATCAATTAGATTTTAAAAGTAAAAATTCAGATTCTTTTAGATTTTACATTAAGCCCAAAGGGCCGTTTTTTTCAACGTTTCGTGTGTAACCTTTATTTATTAAATATCAGGTTCTTCGCACTTAAACCATAAAATTCAATTCAACAGCAGTATCTCAAATTAATTTTAAAATGAGCATTTAGAATTTCCGATACACAGTCTCGCACGCTAGAGTTAATTTTTCTTTTTTTTTCCGTACAGTGTGCCATTGCTCACTTTGAAATCGTGAGTCTAATCAGAAATTCGTTAAAGTTTACAAAATACGAATAGATATAAAAACAAATCCAAGTTCCCAGTTCGGATTCCAGGTCCCCATATCTATGGGGAAACTTATAATTTGATGTCTCTAGGTACCGTTGTTTTTTTCGCAGCACCAGAAACATACATACATTCATGCAGATTCTTCATTATTATATCTTTAAATATAATGCGGGGCTCTAATATTTGGTGGCAACAATTTGAAAAGTGAACCGGCATTAATAGTGAACCAACGCAGAATGCCAAAACGAAATTCATAGCCCTTCTGGGCTAGGCTAAAAAGCTTTCGGTGATAATTTATTATCTCAGTCAAGCCATAAATGTGAAAAATTATGTAATTTTTAGAGATATATGTTATTATGGGTACAAAATTGTAAACGTTATTAATTAATTTTTTAGAGAGATATGTTGCAATGTGTACAAAACTGCAAACGTTATTAATTAATTAAGCAAATTTAATTACGAATATTCTTGGTTTAGTTTTTTAGATGTACTTTAAAAGTTTGCTTTTCGTCACGGTTTATTTCAGTTTATAGACTTTATCTGGAAAAATCTCGGGGAATTTAATATCCTGCTTTTGGAACATTCTCTTTTAATAATATGAATATTCTATTAAGTGAACTGAACTGCAATATAAGTAAAATATATAATAGTAATACAATGGTAATGAAATCGAATGAATTAAATGGTTGACAAAGCGGAAAGTTAGTTTATAATTAACATTTTGAAACAAAACTAAGAATTTGAGTGTCAGTATAAAAATGTCGTGTCATAGTCATCAGACGAGCATTACGTCATGAAATTAGCGCCATTTTTCTTTTTCCCCCGTCTGCCCGCTCTTTCACTGTCTGAGTTTCCAATGTCATAGTCTAGACTCGTACGCTCCAAAAATTCAGACAAGTGTTCATAGAAGTACGTTTCAACTCGATCGAGGCAAAATATTTGCTCTCTTCCCAAACACCCCATTGCACCTTCATTCACTAGAGAGTTATAGGTTACACGTGACGGAGCACCTCGCGTGCAAAGCATTTGGTTGATATATCAGGCTTTGAATTAAATTTATGCTTCTCTCAGAATGTGGGGGGGAAAAAGTGTCTTCCTAATCGATTATCACACATTTGGAGAGTTTCCAAGTTTTTAATCGGCTGTAAAGTTACGCCCGTAATATCTGTGCTTCAACTTTCACCAGAGACGAATCACGATAGAGTTAAAACGAATTTTTAAAAAAGGTAGAATGTGGAGAAATTCTACGAAGATATTTTTCACTTAGCTTCCGTGGAATTGTTTAATAAATGCATGCTAATCGAACAAAATGGTATAAAATAAATTAGATTAAGATATAAAATAAGTTAGATAATAGAAATCATATCTTTAATACACAATAAAACTAGTCACACACATACTACTTACTACGCATAAAATTTAAAATGCTCGTTCTTTAAATATTTGTGTTCATTTTTATTTACTTATCTACCGGCAATGTATGAATGCCTAGGAGTTTTATAGAATTCCGAAAACTACCCGGCAATGTATGAAAAGATTAACATTTCACACATTTGCACTCAAACCGGCAAACTTAATAACTTGAAATACGTCTCCGTGTTGCGGGAGTTTGCATTTCATGACATCAACAATGGGCGAGGTGATTCGCGCATTTTATTAGCATTTGTAGTGAGTGTGATAGAGAACATTTTTTACCGACTTGGAACTTCTAAGGGAATTTTAAAATAACTATACATGCGAGATCGCAATTCACTTTATGCCCTAAGAACCTACTTACAACTGAAGACATTCCTAACTACGAAATTCCTTTCCTCAGTTGCATTTACTCGGTCCAGTACAAGCAACCAAGGATTTATCAAGTTTATCTGTAAGACAAAGCGCGAAAATATAAGATCGCTTTTTCACGAAAATAGCAATATAGTGTAATTCAAAATGTTATTCAAGTCTACCGTGTTACACCATGAAAATTTTGTGTTCTTGAACTAAATTTGAAATTCATGAAAATAAGAAAGGCACACATTTTATTTTGTACAACTTTCATTTTTCTGTACGTATTTTGAATAAAAGATTTTAATGACACTTCTTCATTATTTTTTCCAAATAACATTTGTAACCTCGAGGTTTTGTCGTAATCTCATAAAAAACAGCAACAACCAAAAAAGAAAGTCTGAAAGGTTTCACATTCTAAATTACGTCCAAAGGAGAGTTTTTTTTTTTTTTAACGTTTTGTGTGTTATCTTTATTTATTAAATATCATGTTCTACATACTCAAACCATAAAATTTCGTTCAACAGCAATATTGCAAAATAATTTAAAATAGCATTCTCGAATTCCGATACAGTCTCGCGCGCTGGAGATAAAAATCTTTTTCTGTACAAGTTGGCATTGCTAGCTTGAATTCTTGAGGTTTAATCAAAAATCGTCAAAGTGTTGCAAATATGAACAATAATAAACAATTCAAATTTCAATTGGGTCACATGCCCATATTCGCAGGAGATTAGGATTCAAAATTTGATGGCCTAGGTACCGTGTTTTATCCAATGCGAAGAAACATACTCATTTATGTAGATTCTTTATTATTAAATTTTTTCAAATATAATACAGGGAGATAATATTTGGTGGCAACAGTTTGAAAAGTGAAACGAACATTCAGAGTTATTTGAAGCAAAATCGCAAAACGAAAACAATAGTCCCTCAGGGACGAAACCTCTTTGGACTAAAAAAAAAAAAAATCCCTTGATAAGCAGATAAATTTTAAAGGCCATTTTAATCACATTCTGCGTAAAGCAGTAGCAGCTTACGTTAGCAGTCTACAGTTTAAACGGATGTATAACTCCAGGTCCAGACTAAACGTGAAAAGGAAGTAATATTTGATTCTAATACGGCTGTGCCTGTTTTATGCGATACCAACCTGAGTGATAGTGTGGTTGCCTTGAGATTATATTTTTTCAAATGTAAATTAATTCAATTTTCTATTATTTAACATCGAATTCTTTTATTTGCTAGAAAATAAATATTGCTCTAATAATTATCTCTGATTGATACCAACTGCTCTGAGAGAAAGTGAGAATATCAAAAGTGAATTCATAATTATTTCACATATTTATTTCGATATTCTAGTTCCGTATTACTTTCGACCTTTCAGCAACGCCTTCCTCCATACATTTTGAAACTGCGAATATTATGCTAATTCACAGACCATACATCAACAGACTGTGATTTGGAACTTGCCGATGCATCGTTGTTTGCTGACTGCTGCTATTAAACGATGAAATTTTGCCAGAGTGACACAGAATATTTTGCTGCTTAAAGAAGACAGACCCGTGTCATGTTCTCTTGAAATATACGCAGCTTTCCTATAAAATTTAGCCAGTATAAAGATGAACTTTGGTTTAACTATAACCTTTAAAGTGACGTTGCTTTTCGTTTACCTGATGTATGGATCCTATTTGAAATGATACAATGTTTATTAAGGTCTTAAAATAATATGAGGATTTTTTTAATATAAAATAGATTTATTATTAAAATCAGCTTAAAACTGGTATAATTATAACTATATATTTTTATTTTTCTACTGTTGGAATAATATTATTTTAACCTTTTATGAAAAGTTATTATTATTAATTATAATTTTTCAAAAAAAAACATTTCGTGCTTTTTGAATTTCTTCTATAAGCCAGTAATAATTATTTTTGTTTTGTGTATACGATTGATTATGCATGAAAATGAATGAAATACTTTCAAACCTGTAGCCGTAATACTTACAGATGCGATGCTTACATCATAACAGCTCACAGTTGCGACGAAATTTATACCACATTTTTTTCATCTTAAGATACAATTTATTCAAGCATACTTACGCGTAAGTACGATATTACTCAAAATTTGAGATCCGAGTTGTACTTATTGTAAAACGATATGCAAAGAAATGAGTATTAAAGTAAAAGAATTACATTTTTATATAGTAAGAATGTTTCTTATATTTATATTTTTAATAACAGTATAATACTACAGGTTGTTTTACTTTGGGAAGTTACTTTCACTCTTAACATAAATGAATAAGATAAAGAGTATAAGAACAATATATACTTTGTATATAAGAATAGCTTTATTATAATGAAATTTTTAACAAACACACTTCAAAATTCCATACAAAATAACAATAAAATATTGCTTTGTAAAAACTTTAGCACATCCTTTCACATTCGAAACGAAATATTTAGATGTATCGTAAACACTTCTATACTCTTTCACTGAGTATAGACCCCTTTTGCTCTATTCCGAGTTTTCAGGGGCTTCTTCTATTTCTGTCGATATATCTGTTCTTTCTTCTGATATCTGAGATTCACTTTTATCCATTTCATCAGTATCTTCTTCGCTTACTGATGTTTGTTTCAAATTTTTGATTTCGTCTGAGGTAGACTCATCCACCTCAGGATATTTTGTCACCATTTCAGTGTTCGTATGCGAACTAATATCGTGTTGAATTTCAGACTGTGTTAATGGTACGTCTTCATCATAATTAGAGTCATCTGAAATTTTCACTTGCATAGTATCATCAGCCTTACTACTGATTCTGGGCAAAATGTCTTCGCTTTCCTGGGCTAGAGAAGATGAGGTGGTTTCATCTTTAAAATCAAAACTATCTGAACTTGCACGCTGGCAGTCAGACCTTACACCTTCTGAAACCGAAGATATTTCCTCTTTGAAATCTATATTATGTGAACTTGTACTTTGGATGTCATAATCAGCACTTTCGGGAAGCACAGACTTCTGTACTGTAACTGTCTCTTCTTTGAAATCAGTGTTTTCCGAATTTGTATGTTGAATGTCATTATCAGCACATTCTGTAACCGAAGACTTCTGTAACGAACTTGTCTCACTTTTGAGATCAGTGATATCTGAATTTGTAAGTTGGCTATCAGAAAGAACATCTTCGGAATCGGAAGACTTTCGTAATGCTTCGATCGTACCTCGTTTGACTAAATTAGCCGCAGGAGAAATAATTGTATCTTGAATATAATCTTGTAAGTTGGACACAAAGTCATCAGTCCACTTCTTAGCAGCTTTGAATTCTTCTAAAGCCTCCTTTTCCAAAATATCATTAAGTTCGAAAAACTTTTCAGCTTCACAAAAGTTTAGTACTGAAATTATATTCTCAAGACAGAAATAGGTCTTTTGTAAATTCCGACTTTTAAGATAATAGCTTCCTAAATGATGAAGAGCTCTAATTTTCATAAAAATTAGTCCATCGTCTTTGGCTAGTTCTAGTTCTTGGTAAAGATATCGGAGGAACAATGTATGATTACCTTTTCGCTGATGTGCAAGACTTAATAGGTGCAAAGCATCCCCTTTTAATTTAATCTTTTCTAGAAAAAATTTATCTGGGATTGACTTTATTCTTTCCAGAAGTTTATACACTTCAGTGATGCAACTATTCACTCGGCCTTTTTCCAGTTCCCAGGAGCAGCGCCGTTTGGCGGCTCTGCATATAAACACTTCAACTGGTTGAGCCATTGGTTTTATCACCGATTTTCGTGGAAATTTTGGTATCTTTTTCCTTGTATGAAGAGGCATTTGCATGGACCAAAATCGTTGGCTATTTTCAATGTATTGTATAACTTCTTTACAAAGACTGTGAATAGATTTTCTACATTTGTCCGATAAGAGAGCTTCCAAGAATTTTTTATCAGATAGAAAACGTTCATAAGTAGCTTGTCTGCCTCTAAGTCCTGAGATATGTTGCTTAAATCCCTCATCTGATTGTCTGCGCAAGAGTCTAAGATCATCGGTAACTACAGTCATCTTTCTTACAGGGCGTAGGGAATTATCCATAGCTTCTTGACACAGCTGCTTTCCTAATCTCAACTTCTCATTACCAGGTATAAGATTTTGTCCTTTAAGGTATGTTAAGTACCCGTCTTCGAAATCTCCCATTAAATATTCGGCTTGACCTTTCAAGTCTATAGCTTTAGCCGAAAGCGGATTCAGCTTTATTGCTCGCATAGCATCTTCTTTTGCCTTCTCGTACTCTTTTAAACCCAGAAAAGTTTCAGAGCGTTTCAGCCACGAATTGATATTTGTCGGATCTTTCTGCAAAGCAGAATCGAAGAAATTTACAGCTTTTTCATACTGTTTGAGATGAAGGTATTTAACTCCTTCCGAATGATACATACTGTGTGGGTAGTGAACCTCTTTCTCACATTTCATAATACTCTCAATAAACTGGTCCAGATCCATTTTGACTCTTATTCTCTAAAATATAAATATCCGTTATATTATTTTATATTAAAATGATTCTTTGGGTTTTTAATAAAAATATTTGATCAAGTTGTAATTAAATATTTGAACGTGCTAAAATAATTAGGCAACTGCGTATTCAAAACTTATTGATTAATGAAGTTTTATGTACATTTACTATTATAAGCTAAGGTTTCTAACTCTTTTTCTCAAACTCGTAACACTGCCGTTTTAAAACTGAAGAAGTTATTTAATTAGATTGGTGTCAAATTCACTTTGTATGTCAAGGATGACAAAAGGACGCTTTAGATCGTATTCAGAAAATTGATAACTTATACATACTTTTTTACAACAGAATATCAACAAATTCCCCACTGTTAGCAAGTTTCGCGAGTTTTTTTTTAAGAGGGGGCACAAGCTTTTCAGATGATAATAGTAATGTCATTGTGATAACAATGACTTCAAAATAATATTTTTTTTTTTAGTTCTAGTAATAAAATCTTGGTTAAAATGCGGTTTAGCCCACTGCTTGGCGATTGTTTTTCAATGGGCAATAAACGCGCCAAATGGCTAAACCGCTGTTTTGAAGCTGTGTGTTATCTGTTGCTCTAAATGTTATCGCCCTGGTATTTCAAGAATAAATATTGAAAATTGAATGAAGTTCTCGCATGTGAAAAGCAACGGTACTACACCATCAAATTTGAATAAATCGTTTCAACCTAAATGGCACGGAGTCAAACTGCATTTTTTTACTTGATGAGATTTTGTAAACTTGAACGAAATTTTATTAGCAAACGCAAAGATTTCAAAGCGAGCAACTGAACACAGTACGGAAAAAAAAAAAAAAAAAACAACATTTTTCCGGCAGAGCGCCAAACGTCTATCAGAATTCTAAAGATATGCTCATTTTAAAATTATTTGCGATATTGCTGTGAACTGAATTATGGTTTAAGTGTAAAGAACTTATATGATAAGGAAATGTAACACAAAAACGTTTAAAAAAGCCTTGGGCGTATGTAAAATCGAAGCTTTCATCTTTTATTTTATTTATTATTTTATTTACTTGTATTTGTGCGGTTGAATGTTCTTATGTGGTTCTTTTTTATCGAGTTTTTCCCCCCTGTGGGTTTAGCCTTTTTTTGCATAATTACGCAACGGCGTATAACGTTTGTAATTTATTAAGGATGAGGGGGATCAAAAGGGTTCCCCCTGAAATAAATCATATATAAAACACCTCAAAAGACTTACATTTTCTGAAAAGGTAAGTGAAAAAATTTTATTTATGTTCGTTTTAAAGTGCTTTTAATATTTGTATTCTTTGGCTCATCTAGAAGATGAAAGCACGTTGGGCAATCTTGGTGTTTTTTTTAATGAACATAGATCGATATGTACATGGGCAAAGCCAATGTAGTGCGCAATGCCTAGTTTGGGCAATTCTCGGATGTTTTTAAGTGAAAATAGATTGATGTAGTCATCGGCAAAGCCAATGTGTTGCGCAA